CCCAGTCATTCCTTTTTCTTGCGCTTGCGCGACTTATTCCTAAGGTCTTTGTACTCATTCTATAGGCCATACATTAGCATACTTAAAAACCACATGGCTCACAGAAAGGCCAAATATTCTTTAGTTTGGCAGAGTTTTCCAGACCTTACGGATATGTCTGTTCAGTTCATTCCTCGTTTTCTTTTCATTAACGTAAACATGTTGATAAAAAGGAATAACAGAAGCGAATACAAACCTATTCGTATGGGAAGATATGTGTTTTTACTGAAACAACCACGTCCAAATTAATTTTGGAACCACTAAGGGAAAGTAAGTAAAATTTGCCTTTTCATGGCCTTAACACGTCATTTCGGTCGAACTTCCATTACTGTAACTCCCGATAAGTTAGACAGATCGAACATTATTGAAAACACTTCATCGCATCTAAGTATTGCGTACAGCTCAAAATCCATGGATTTGGTGTGCGGCGGCGGCGCTCGCAAAATCGCTCTGGTCCCACGCGGTGCAAAAACCCAAAACGCGCGATGTCGTCAACGTGTTAAAACAAGTTATCATGCTTTACATGGCGAATATTTGAGAAATAAAAGAACTGCTCTCCTACTTCTAACACAATGTCAAAAACAATGTCGGGTAACGTGAGATCGGGGACACGTCCATATCGCTCTTGTGCGCAAAACAATTTAGTGGTGGAGGAGGATTCCCAGAAACTTGTTGCGAACGACAGGCCGTGTCTATTACATTGATGACGTACATCCAACTGAGCGGCGGACCGATGAGTCATCACAGCGGGCGATAGCTCCTGTTTTAGAATAACGCGCTGTCCATAGGTGGCTATCGGAAAATCATGGAGTGATGGACATGTGTATTGATTGGCACGTGGCTCAAGTACAGATTTGAAAGTGCGGTGAGGATAAGGGAGGGTGAATGCGGAGAGGAGATGCAAATTCTTCCATTTTTTTCATGGTGGAGGATGTACGTAATTGGTAGAACTCTTTACCGACTCAATTCCTCCTAATCAAGTCTCGCTGGGACTACGGGACAAACAGCGACGCTTCATGAGCATCAGTGCCAGAATTCGAGCTACTTATCATAGAATGAAGTCTTTTAGTCGGTCTTATTACTTGCACTCATCTATTTGACTGTGATTAAGTCTAAATTAGCGCAAAACTAATAGATGGATATTTAAGTTGATGCTTCCCTAATCAAAGCACTTAAGGACAGAAGCCACTTACCAGTCGCCTCGTGATCCTGTCTTTTCTTCTGTTGTTCCGGTGGTTGCGTCAAGCGAATTATGAGATTTGGGAGCGTCACCCCCTTCCCCATCATTTGCCTGTAAAAAGCACGATTACTACTAGTTCAGCTAAGCTGAAATACTTTCCAGTGCACATGGGTATCTGCCCGTATTATCACTTTTAAATTACCAGAATATTGAAAATACATCATTCGAAAAAATTGTCACTAACCAACTGCCTGTCAAGAAAAATTTTGATCGAACTGCTAACTCTCATATAACTGCTTAGATTACAAATTCGGCACGAACTTATATATAGCTCGTCCAAGGAATATTCGGACTCGTGGATAAGTATCGGAAGTGTTCCACTCATCGGGTTTCCTGATTCAAGGAAAAGCCGAACAAAATGTAGAACATACCTTTTACTTCACCAGAAACAAGATTATTTTCGTCTGAGCCAGGTGACGTAGTATTACCATCGTGTGCCTCTTCTTCATCCAAAAGCTGCAAAATCCCAAATTTAACAAAAAAAAACCAAGACGAAGGATTTTCGCAACATCACTTACTGCTTGATCTGTGAGCATTTCCTTTTTACTGAACACTTTCATGGTGTCACTATCACTGAGACTTCTGCTACGTTGTTTGCGATTTTCCACATTCTGTTTGACGTCGGTCTGAATCAATACGTTTAGGCTCCAACAGAAACAAAACAATTCAAGAAATCGTCGAAAGAAATGGAGCACCGCACAAGTTAAATAGTTTTCAGCAATCACGTCAAATAAAAATGACTCCCATCCATAAACTAACGTGGCTCATGGGGAAGCCCAAACCTAAAATTTCCACTCTTTCCTCCATTTCGAAACTTGCAAGTTAAAACAACACCACAGCCCCTTTTGATAATAAGAACTACTTTGAACTACAAGTGTTTGCTAAACGTGCAATGCTGTTTACCTTTTCGACTTTATCGGATTTCTGCTTAGATTCTTCAGAACTCAGAGAGTTGCTATTGTCGTCATCTCCTTCTCCTGATTTTCTCTCAGAATTTCTGCAAAATGAACCGCTAATTCTGTGATCAATTTTTGCATCTGAAGTTTATGACAATAAAATTTCCATATAAAATCTTGAAACTGAAAATGTGTCGATGTTCTGAACCTACTTCAATGCCAATGTGTTTCCGGTCTTCTTTCCTTGCTGGACAATACCACGCCTTTCTTTTTTGATAACTTTAGTTGCTTTAGATGTAGTCGCCGATTTCTGTGCACCTGTGAGCGCTTGTCGTAAAGACGTTGGGCGAAGCGCATCTCCAGGTCCTTTCGGTACATCTTTCACTAAAAATTATTTGTGATTCGAATAATCAAATAGCATACCAATTATGAAAACGCTGAAGAAAGAAAATACCTTTTTCAATTCGGTGAATACTCTCTACTAATTTGTGGTTCACCAAGCGATCTCTCTGTGCTTCCAGTTTTTCCTGCGACTGCTTATCCTTGTCTTTGCAGAATTTCAATGCCTAAAAAACCGAAATTAATTGCAACCCAATTTAATACAATTTTGCCTCTTTCCGAATAGGCCGCAGACCTTTCGATCTTCAGAGATAATTCTAATGCTAGAAAAGCAAAAACTGCCCAAATTCGGTCCCAAGAAATTCGTTAATGTGAATCATCACGACGATATACCTGTTGATTTGCTTCAATCGATAAATCAACTTGGCCTCTAGCTAACTGCATTTCTGCTAAATTGTACCACTGATCGATAGATCGCCGAAAATCTTCGCGCGACCTGCAATGAATATATTTATCCAACAATTCCACACAATCTAAACTTCAATGGAACTAAAAGGAAACTTGATTACATCATATTTTTGGGGGCCTCCGCTTTCACAGTAATTTCCAACGTGACTCGGTCATCCTTAATGTATCCTTGGCTCTCGTCAAGTACATCCTAAAAAGATGCAGTCAGCTCACATAATCAACCAGACATACCGAAACTTACCGCCCAAGTCATAAAGCAGGAATAGCCCCAGTCATTTTCTTTAGCACTATAAACGTGGGTTGTTTTCCGCACGAAATTTTGTACACCACTTTTCTGAGCGATCAATCGCATTTCTGCTACAGATTGACACGTCCACGCACTAAACATGGTGATATTACCTTTTAATAGCACAAATACCACTCATTGCTTTCACTAGTACAAAAGACTCACTCCGAATAAGTGTTATCTGGACAACACTGCAGAAAAAATCCCATACATTTTTGGTTTTTCTTCTGCACCATATGTTGTTTAGGCATCACCATTATCCTCCTGAAATAAGAAAGTTAAGACTTGTATGAAATTTTAATTCTTCAGCAATCAACCTCTTCCAAATAGCTGACCAGTGAGATATAATATGAAAACTGAAACTGTATAAAAGTAAAACAACTGAATCATACCATGGAACACCATTGATTCGTTTACATGGAGAGCAGAGCGTATCCACCATCTTCGAAAAATGCTGAATTGTAACCCTTAACGTTTGCTCTTCGGTCGCGGGTGAAGTCGTTGTGGCCCGAGAACTAGTTGCTGGTGTGCTCGAAGGGTTCACAGCTGAACAATGCAATAACAGAAGTTAACGAGCAAAGATAAACTACAGACATGGAACAGCAGTTAAACCTACCTAATAAGCCACTCGATGCCGTGCGATTCGGCTGAGCCAGTGAAGAATGGCTCGCCGCACCGTATGGCACGTCCGTTTGACAAGCAACGGAAACCCGCTTCTTCCTAAAATAGAACGAATTAAGGAACATAATCGCACAGATCACGGGAGTAGATTTGTTTCTAGGCTACGTGTCACTGCATAAGAACTCTAACTCAATTTTTAATCGCGTTTTCGAACAACACCAGGACGATGCCGTGGGTTAATTCACGCAGTTGGAAGTCATAGCAAATGATGCTATCAGCCATAAGTTCCAAAAAATGTCCCTACTTTTCCAGAATAAGTACTAGCTCTACGCACGCGACATCATGGGCCGTATCCTTCTCCCAGGTACGGGATCAAAAAAGTCCTTTAAATTTATTTGTTTTCGAAGGCACATTTCCCTCAGTCCCATCACTCCTTTGCTTTTAAACTATCAATACATTACAGATTTGCAGTTTAGGGCGATTTTTGCTGGAAAAATCGCTAGCCTAGGGGAAGGATAGGATATGGTCCCAGTGTAATTCATTTCTCTACTTCCAACAGACATTCAAAGGAGAACAAATCCAGTGCTGATAATTTCCCTCATGAATATAAAAAGGTGTCGCGGACTGCCCGTGGCCATGCACTTCTTCCCAGTTTCATCAACTCCCCAAAAATCAATTCTGACAGTCATTTTCAATTTGCTGGGATGGAAAGAGTTTTACTCAAATGTCAAAGATCAATCTGGAATCACTCCTACATGTGCTTTGGTTGAACACTGAAAGCGTATCACAAAAAGTGTTGTTAGACCAAACAGTTGCTATTGGACTTGGTGTTAGACAACTTCATGAACTAGCAATTTCAAACCGATACTTGCATTCGGCGGACTAATAAATTGTTTCCATCGATATTCTCTTTTTAAACCGAATCAGTTAAGAAGTTTCTACCACAAAGTCATAACGTGGCTCAGCCACCATGAGTCACAAGCAAGCGCCAATTCCTTAACACAGCAGCTGATTTTGGTTTTGAAAGGGATACGCATTATAACTTACACTGACGCCGTTCGCTGAGGAAACGAACTTCCAGCTTCCTCCATTTTGGCCTGAAATCAGAAAAAATTGGGATCTGTGACTGGCTTCAAGTTTTCCATGAAACGAAGGAAAAGAATATGTGCAAACACTTTCTGATGAAAGGGTTAGCTCACAGGAATAAAGCCTCTCAAATAACAAGTAGTGGGGAGGCGAAAACCCAGCGGACCAAGTGTTTTCGTCAGACAAACAATGCGGCGGGCTCTCTGCCAACGACGCGGACAGAGAGCCGACTACAGGGACTAGAGTTGAAATTCAGCTCATAGCAAACCGATGGGAGCAAGGGAGAATGGCTTTCAAACGATTCCGTCGGCAAATTTCACTTAAAGAGGACGATGAGGTTGACAGGGCCCGAAAACGTCGCCCACTCACACGATTTAGCTCCCACCTTAAAGGACACGCATTCGATCGCTGTCTACATTTCGGCGCGGGACCCGGCGTATGGCGCCCGGCACAAGCTTCACATTTGCGACACCAATGCGCGAATCACGAGCTATGAATCTGTTTTTGAACCTTCGTTTTACTTACGGTCTTTCTAGTACGGGGCTTTCAATACACGAACTAAAGCGGAAACATCAGCGTGTCACTGCAATGATGAACATTGCTATTTCCTTCTTATCCATCGAGATCCTTCCACAAAACCACTGAGGATTGACCTCACTTCAATTTTAGCAATGGTTGGTTTGTTGGGTTGCTATTGGGACCGTCCAGACTAGTTAACTTTCGTTGGGGTGTTCAAGCTTCTTCATCCTCGGCCGTGGCAGGCTTAGTGATCGTCTTGCAGTTCGGTATGGAGCAAACGCGTATCGACAATGTTTCTGTGATCCCACGGTCGCAGGATTGTTTGATCGATGCGTATTTCCTTGCAAAATCGTAAACCATGACCGAGCCCTTCGTCAAAAACCTAATCCGCCGTAAGTTGCGTCCTGCGGGGATGCGCGAGGGCAACCACTTCCGCAGTGTTTAAAGTAACGACCCCAGTTGATTTCATACTTTTGCTATAATGCAATGAAATGATCCGTGAGCTCTAGCCGAGACCGTACGTAGTGTCGCTGAAGCAAGAGCTCATCTTTGAAAGCCGCCAAGAGGATTTGGAGAGTTGCCAATTTTGTGCCGTCCGCCTTTTACCGACACCCCCATTTGCTACTTGATTTTTCCTCAATGGTCCTGCCGCGATGGCTAGAGCACAGACGATTAGAGAACGGGTGAATGCTCCAGGGGCGGTATTCAATCCTTCCCCAGGGGATATATCCCCCTACTCTGATTCAATCCTCTTCAATTCCTG